AAACGAATTGTAACACATGGTTTTGTGTGGAAGCATTTTGAAAAAGTGAAAGATTCAAATGGAAACAAATTCGTAATTTGCAAATTAAAAAAAAAATTTAATCGACTAAATAATCGACTAAAAACAATCGACTAAAATAATCAATTAATAGTCGACTAAAGAAAATTTGACCAACTAGGACGATTCCAACCTCTAATTACAGAGTATTTACCAACTCTAAAAATTTAAATTTTATTTGTCACGTAGGTTCTGTATATAAGTTTACCCTTTAAATAATTCATTAAAAAAAACATACTGCTTCTAAAAAAAAAAGAAAGCACATTGGACAATTGGATTACTAAATGATTATGAAATTATCTGTATATTATTTATTTATTTTTCTTTTTTTATGTATTTTATAATTTTTTTTTATTTATTAATAAAGTTGTATCGTGGTAAATATTTTACATAATGAATCACACTATATAGTGAAGTTTTTTGCCAAATCCAACTTTTTCTTATATCAAGCGACTATTTCCAGCATAAAAAATAGAATCTATTTCCGATTCTAGAACTTTTATTTCGTCTTCATCTTTTTTATTTTCGTCCTCGTATTTTCTATTTTCATCTTCGTCTTTTCTATTTTCGTCTTCGTCTTTTCTATTTTCGTCTTCGTCTTTTCTATTTCCGTCTTCGTCTTTTCTATTTCCGTCTCCGTCCTTTCTCTTTTCATTGTTGTTTTTTTTACCTTCATCTTTGTCTTTTTTATTTTCGCCTTTGTCTTTTTTATTTTTGCCTTTTTTATTTTCGTCTTCATCTTTTTTTAACTGAGGAATTTTAACAACATGGTGTTTAAGAAGCTCTATTAGAGCATCAAGTTGTTGTTTCGTTTCAGATAGTTCATGTGTTACGCTATCAAGTTGGTTTTTCATTAAAGACAGTTCATCATCTTTATCATTTGTAGTAGTTGTTGATTCATCAATTTCTGAAACTATTTCATAATTTGTAGTAGCCGTTGGTGTATCAATTACTATAGCGGCTTGATGATTTTTATCATTTTCTGTAGTTGTTGATGCATCAATTTCCTCACAATAATCACCCATTAATGCATTCGTTTCATTTTTACCTGATTTTTTTTTATAAAATAAAGATAGGATTGATCCTAATCTGCAATGTGTTTTTGTTATAAAGAACCATTTCTTTAGATATTTCCATGGTCCAATTGGACCAACATCCGTTTCATTTTTGTCTGAACTTTCTTCATTTTTATCTGAATTTTCTTTATTTTTATAAAATAAAGGTACATGAGTTGATCCTAATCTGTCCTTAAGTACATCATGTGTTTTTGTCCTAAAAAACCATTTCTGGACAACTCCCCATGGTTTGATTGGACCAACACCTAAAACAATTAATAAAGACAATTATAAATCTGAACACTGTGTAATATGATTATGCATTAATGTATATAATTAATTACCAAATAAAATGGCATAAAGTGTTAAGAATGCACCTCCCACAGCCAATACATTCGAGATCACAGACAGAAACTAATATATAAAAATTAAAAATAATTTAATAATAATAATAATGACAATGACAATTATTAATTAATAAAATATACTTGCATTTTTATTTCTGTATTATGGTAAAAATAAAAAAAAAACAGCCATTGTTAGAAATTATTTCAATTCATGTGTGCTGAAATTTTTTTTGTAATTCAATCACTCATTAATTTTATTTACTTGCCGCTCTTCTGTCCTCGTTTCAACTACAAAATTATGTGGATCAATCATGAATCCTGTCACTCCTGGTGTAAAAAAAGACGAATTTCTTGTCGATGGATCTAAACAATTTATTATTTATTGAATCATTTATGATGGTATATTTCACAATAAAAAATTTATTCGACTTACAAATGATTGTTGTAATATAAGGTCGTGTATTACGGTTTGGCTGAAATCCGAAATTATCTAGGAATGAGGGTATTATTCTATTGGTGACCAACCTAGTCATCCGAATGTGATAGATCTAAAAATATATCATTTATTATAAACAATTTTATCTTGCACACACACCATTATCATTATTATTTATTATTATTTACATTTTTTCCTATAAAATATCTATTTGCTCGGAAAATCGACGTAATAAAAGAATCCGATGACTCAACAAAATAGGTATCCTTGGCTGACTCGACATACATTTCCTCCGCAAGTGCTAGATTTTCTAATTAAAAAAAGGCATCATCAATCAATCAATCAATTAATCAATCAATATTTAATATAGATAAGTCATACCTGAGTCAAATATATTAATTGTAAAAGTAGGAATGTCCCCATCTATAATACCATCATCGGCGAGTTCGAATCTAAAAAGGATTCGTTTTAACCGATTCTTCGGTTCGGTATTGGGAAAGTATAGGTTATTTGGTAAAAATTTCCCGGTCCAATGTAAACCAAGAGGTGTCGGTTGAGTGATATGCTTTGAACAAATAGAGCTGGTGTCCTCTAAAAATGAATAGGTGAATGAATAAATATGCAATACAATATAACATACATAATATGACTTTACCAAAAGATTCAAATTGTAGGAAAGCGCATCTAATCGTAAAATTTTTTCTAAACTGCATGGAAATAACTATACAATAATAATATCAGTTAAAAAAAGTGTCTGTGTTATTATTTATATATTCATTGATCAATTAAATTCACCTGGCGAAGGAAATTCCACTATTGGAGAATGCTCTGTTTTATACAAGTAAAAAAGTTAAACTTGGCTTAAGTTAGACACGTAGTAAAATACACTTTCTAGTTAAATAAAGGTCGAATTTATTTTTTTACCGGTGGTGATAGTTGGCAAATCATTTAATACTCCTATTGTGAGTATAACAAAAAGAAATACTAATATTACTGCAAATACTACAATAGTAGTTATTTTGCAACAAGAAATTGTTGGTGTTAGTTTTTTTTTAATTGAATTCATTTTGTCTGAAAGCGATGTTTTGATTGATTTCATTTTTTCTAAAAGGAACATTTTAATTCATCTAATTTTGTTTAAAAACGTTTTAATTGATAATTAGAAAGAGAAAAGAAAAGGAAATGAAATATGAATGACGTTTGATAATTTGCTTCATTAATACTTATAAATAAATTTATTCGTGATATTTTGTTTCGAATTAAAGTTCGGTGCAACTAAAAATAAAAAATAAAATAAGCCAATTCATTTATAAGTTTTGACATTTTGAGATACAAACCTTGTCACAACGAATAGATAGATAATAATTTCATTCAAATTCATTATTCCAAATTACTAATCTCGTCCATATATGTTTTTATACGTAAAGCAAAAAACTTTAAAAATCCATTATAGCTTGAATTTAATTATAATCTGTTGTGACAAGGTTTAACTGCTCAAATACCCTTGGGATATAGAACCTTTTAAGGGAAATCCAAATTATGCTTTTTTTTTGTTACGCGTTTTTTCCCATTAGAAAATATTTTTTCATGTAAATGATTTTTATATGTAAATCCCTGCTTCATACACGATTTGCAAATCAATGCAAAATCATCATCATCATTGTTATTATCATTATATTTTAAAAAAATAGAATTTTGTTTGTTTCATTTCATTCTTTCTTTAAAAAGGATTTTATTAATAGACATTACTAAAATTGTATTGATATTTATTTCCTTAAAAACAGATCTATGGCTATTCGACCATCAAAGAAAAAAGATTAACATCAATCAAAATGCCCTGTTTGGTAATATTATTTATTATTATTATTAATAATGATTCTTATTTATGTTGAGAGACGGGTGATTGTTACGCGACCAAAATATTGGTGGCATTATCTTATTGTATACAACAATTAAAAATATCCTCCTAGTAATAAATCATACTATTAGTATTTATTGTACACAGAAACTGCGTCATAAATGACTAAAAAACTGAGAGTGGTTGTTAAAATAGTTGTCGCCATTTTAAACTCAGTAACCATTCTGATTTTTCCATTATTGCATGCGGAACATGCAATGATCTGATTTGTTTCCTTCAAAATCGGATCTACAGTTAAACGACTAATTATAGAAAAAACCTTATTAACAGGTTAATAACCGGTTAAGTATATAATGAATAACGTATTGGTATATGTATTAAAAATTCTTCACAGTTTTGGGAATCAATGATGCAATAAATTTTTTTTGGTCATATGATATTTCCTGGTCATTTCATAATGAAATGTATTTCCATGAAATTTATTTTTGGTGCTAGGTGGGAGATAGCAAGTATATGTTTTGTGTATTTCTATGCAATAGTCTATTTATTAAATGAACTTAGCTGTTTGCTGTATTTTTTTATAAAGAATGAATTCTCTTTCCATTCATCTGGAAAATTCACGTGACAAAATATCTGTAGCATAAGGAAAAAATTCAATTTTTAAACATAGTAATAGTAATAGTAAAATTCGGTAAACTCGTGCAACTTTTGAAGCTCAAATCCTCCACAATAGCATGATATATCAATGAGATGAATTCGTAACTTTATAGAGGAAGGTCTTGGCTTCAAAAACACAATTTATTTTGGGGTGTTGCATTTTCGTATTTGTAAAGAAAGTTTTTATTAAATTTATTAAAAAATTACAAATGTGTTTATATACAGTATGAAATATATGAATAAAGAATCTATTCCTAATTTGGAAGTTTGTACAATTTCTACTTTACATATTTTTTATTTTTATTCTTTTTTTAACTGAGGAATATTAATAATATAGTGTTTAAGAAGTGCTATTATACCATTAACTTGTTTTTTTATGATTTCATTATCTTGATCATTTGCAGTAGTTGTTGATAAATCATCAATAACTAAAACCATTTCGTTAAGTGTATCATTAGCAGTAGTTGTATCCATTTCATCATTAGAAAGTAAAGATCCAGGGTTTAATCCTAGTCTGGCTACGAGCTCATCATGTGTTGTGACTCCAAAAAACCATTTCTGGACAACTCCCCATGGTTTGATTGGACCAACACCTAAAACAATTAATGAAGACAATTGTAAACGTGAATACCATGTAATGTGATTATGCATTAATGTATATAATAAATTACCAAATAAAACGGCATAAAATGTTAAGAATGATCCTCCCACAGCCAATGCATTTGAAATCACAGACAGAAACTAATATAAAAATTAAAATAATTAAAATAATTTATTAATAACAATGGCAATGGCAATGGTAATTATTAATCAATAAAATATACTTGCATTTTTATTTCTGTGTCATGATCAAAAAACAGTCATTATCAGAAATTAAGCATTTTAACAAAAAAATTTAGCACATGTGTAATTCGATCATTCATTAATTTTATTTACTTGCCTCTGTTCCGTCTGCGTTTCCAACATAAAATTATGTGGGTCGATCATAAATTCTGCCACTCCGGATTCAAAATAGGATGAATTTCTTGAGGTCGGATCTAGGCAATTTATTATTTATATTTATTGAATGATTTATACATTTAAACAACAAAAAAAATTTATTTTGGCTTACAGATAATTGTTGTGATATAAGATTTTGTATCACGGCTTGGCTGAATGCCAAAATTATCTAGAAACGCAGGTACTATCCTGTTCGTGACCCTTCGGGTCATCCGAACATGATAGGTCTAAAAATATATTATTCATTATAAACAATTTTATTATTACATCATTATCAATATATCATCATTATTATTTATTATTATTTACATTTTTCCCTATAAAATACCTATTCCCCCGGAATATTGACGTAACAAAAGATGTATCTGACGACTCCTCGAAATAGGTATCCTTAGCTGCCTCAACATACATTGCCTCCGCAGTTGTCATATTGCCTATTTAAAAAAATCAACCAATCAATCAATCAATTAATCAATCAATCAATCAATCAATCAATCAATCAATAAATCAGTATTTAATAAGTCATACCTGAATCAAAAATGTTGATTGTGAATGTAGGAAAGTCTCCATTTACAGTACCATCACCATCAATTTCGAATCTAAAAAGGATTCGTTTCAACTGACGAAACGGTTGGGTATTGGGAAAGACCAGTTTGTTTGGCGAAAATTTCCCAGTCCACTGTGAATTAAGAAACGTTGGTTGGGTGATATGCTCTAAACAAATAGAGCTGGTATCCTCTAAAAATGAATAAGCGAATGAATATATATCATGTAGTACATAACACATAATGTGATTTTACCATAAAAATCATAAAGTTGAAAATGGCATTTAATCGTGAAGTTTTTTTTGAACTGCATGGAAATCACTTTACAATGAACGATAACATTAGTTAAAAAAAAAGGTCAATGTTAGTAATTTTATGTTCATTGATCAATTAAATTCACCTGGCGAAGGAAATTCCGTTATTGGAGAATGCTCTGTTGTATATAGGTAAAAAAAATCCAATTTGACTTGGGTTAAACACGTAAATATTTGTAAAATGCACTAGCTAAATTATTTTTTACCAGTGGTAATAGTTGGTAAATCATTTAAGACTCCTATTATGAGTACGGCTGAAAGAATTGATAATATTGCTGCAAATACTCCAACAATAATCACTTTGCAACAAAAAATTGGTGTTAACATTTTTTTAAATGATCTTATTTTGTTTAAAAGAAGCATTTTAATTGATAATTAATTTATATTAGTATATATTAGAAAGAAAGAAATCAAAGGTGAACTTTTTCATTGATAATTTGCATTGACATTTATAAATAAATTTATTCAATATGATTTGTTCCGAATTAAAGTTTAGCGCAATTCAAAATAAAATAAAACAAATCAATTCATTTATATGATTCGGACATATCTAATGATTTGCACAACATTTTGGGTAAACAAACTTACCTTGACACAATATACAAATAAGAATTTCAAATTCTATATGCCAAAATTACTAATTTCGTCATACGTTTAATACATGGAACAAACATTTTAAAACCCCGTTATAGCACGAATTTAATTAAAATCTGCCGTGACAAGGTTTGCTATCAAAATATAATAGATTATCTGTGATACAACTGAGTTTGTGGAAATCGGTAGATACTAACAATGAGTAGGATTCTGGCACAAAATACAAGTGGTTTAAATAAAGTTTCTATCAAATAAAGTCTATTTGAATCAAAACTAATGCTTTGCAATCAATTCAAGTATTCTAATCATTTTTTGGAAAACCATTATTTTTGCTATCTGGGTTCTATTTGTCACATCGAACGATCATTTATTTGAAATGAATAATTGTAATTCGAATTGAGATTACGAATAATTCAATTATTTTATTCATCTACAATTAGAATTAGTAATATCAGCCGGCAAAAAAAACCTTGGCTGACTAAGTTAATTAATTAACTTTTAGTCTCAACGATCCTTTATAGAGCGAACTGTATAATACCCATTTATCTATTACTATGTATAACAATGAAATAAATATAACAAATATGGGATAATGTCGCTGCTGTTGTGAAATTCCCAGCATAGATTTTTTATAGTGCGTAATTTAAAATTTTCAGGATGGGCTTGGGTGGGACCTACAACGGAGTTTGACCAATGTCAAGTAGCGACAATTTTTTTATTCCTCAATTTCTCTCCTCTGGATCATTCACACTTTACATTAAGACTGTCTGCTTGTATTTTTATTTTAATGTATTTGTCCAAAGAATAAATAAAGGCTGTTCGAAAATAATATTAGTTTGTCAGATGATTTTGAAGGACTGTATGAACCTGGTTGTTTGACATCATTTAAGTAATACCAGTTTCAAAAGTTTCGATGTTTAAATATCTTCCAACATTTTCTATGATAACAGCAAGTCTAAATTGGCTTTCATTCCATACAAAATAATAGAAGCTGAATGGAATAAACAATTTCCATCTGCTGTAAAAGTTCCATAGATTTATTGTTTTTTACTAGAGATGGGCAAATGTCATATAGTTGAACACTATACGTATAGTGTGTATAGTGCGTATAGTACGTATAGTAGTGTTGAAATTTGATTTGGTGATTTTCTATTATAATAATAAGAAAACAAATTTTTATTTGGCTATTATGATAAGCAACATTGCAGCAATTAAATCTTTAATTTATTAATTATATTGTATTTTAAAAACTGTGAAAATGTTGTTGCATGCAAAAAAGCGAAGACTTTAATTCAGAATTCGTAATCTTATCAAGTGGCATAATATAATTATAATTCTTGCGAAATTCTTCAAATTTAGTAACCCAATTTCGAGTCGATTTTTCAGTATTTGTAACAATGGCTTTTTGACGACAAAAATCAAGTTTTTCATAAATTTCAGATGGTGCTTGTTGTGAGGAAATGGTATTCGAAGTACTTTGAGTATTAGAATCAACTGATAAAGTAGAAATCGAAGCCTCGGAAACTTTTAGGAAAGGAGCGAACTTGCAGTGGCATAAATAGGTTGAAATGCTTGTTTGGCTCCTTTTTGCTTTTCATTGGTGTGAATTTGACGTATTTTTATTAAACAAAGAAATGTTTAAGAAAGGTGCAAAAAGTAAATTGTAATTTTTCATCATAAGCAAAAAAGGACTTTTAACTTTTTCATAGCAAAATTAACTTTTTTTCATCACGGGCGTTATTCTCCGTGAAATAAACCAGTTATTTCACGGGAATATCCATGAAATATCATTATTATTATTTTCACGATTGTGCCGTGTAAATTAATGATATTCACGGATTCCCGTGAAATAACTATCATATATTCCTTGGATAACAAGAAGCAAGAACCACCATTGATTTTAATATTAGAAGGTAGATGTTTATAATCTGAGAATTCAGGAAGAATTTCATCAGAATAATTTTTTGTATAATTATTATCTTCTTATTAAAATTAGTTTTGGAAATAGTTTGGGCTTCTCAATATCTCTTATAAGAAAAAACTATGTAAATCATTCTATTTAATTTAAAACAATTTCGGCTATGAATAAAGAATAGTTTGGGTCTATAAAAAAATTAGTCTTTGCCCAAAGTGTTTCGACAATTTCGAATACTAAGAGAGGTAATTCCGACCGAAATCCTTAATCCTTAAGAATTCCTATATAATAATAATTGAAACCAAATTATGCTTAAAATATCTACTACTTTCCTGTCGCATGTAAATTAATCCGTGATACGTGATAGAAGTAGATAAAATTCTGGAAATTAATTATATAGTAAATTGTGGGGGATCATCACTATCAAATGGTTACAATTGACCAACTTCCGAATTTTGTCTACCAGCACACATAATAAATATTACACAAAATATTAAATAATATGATGCAAAGAATCTCAATCATTATTTTGACATATTTTTTATTATTGTTTTCTTTACAAGTTTTTGACTTTGCTACTTAGCAACCCTGGATTTTAGAAAACATGGCGCAGTATGCACTTCTGTCATGGATCACGAATTAATTTTTTGTTTACGTGTTTTTTCTCTTAGTATTAGAAAATTTTTTTTTTATTAAATCCCTACTTGATACTAAAAAAATAGAAGCAGATATAAGAGTTGTTGGTTTGTTTCGTTTCATTCATTGATTCGTTAAAAAGAATTTTATTAATACAGATTACTAAAATTGTATTAATATTTGTTTCCTTAAAAAACAGATTTTTGGTTATGCGGCTATCAAAGAAAAAAGATTAATATCAATCAAAATGCCCTATTTGGTAATATTATTTATTGGGGTATTCGATATAAGTTGATTAACAAATCTAATTAATGTCATAATGTAAAATACATATCAGATATATTAATATGCGGATTTTTTTATGGTGCCCTTTTTTTCTCTAAAAAAGGAAACAGTGTAACAAAATATATTTTCAAATACATTATTACATTATTAGTATTATGAACTTTCAATCGCCAAGCTTTTGGAAAATTGTTACATTTATAAAATTATTAGAGGTTTTTAATCAGGATACATTTGTAGAACAGTGCTATGGAGAGATAATTTTAATTTCATACAATTTTTTCGGAAGTTGCAATAGATAGAAGTATTATGATAAAGAAATTTCCTGTATTTTGAATGAGCTTTTTTACGCCATTAATATTTTTACATCCATTAAATCTTTCCAAGCTCTAATCTATATTACATATACTATCTTGCATGCTAATTTGATGTTCATATCTTTGAAAACAGATGAGGAGTAGTGGTTTGAAAACAGCATGTTTTATTAGCATTTTATTAGTATTATGAACTTTCAATAGCTAAGGCTTCTGGAAAATCGTTACATTTATAAATAATTAGAGGTTCTTAACCGAAATGCATTTGTAGAACAGTGTTATGGAGAGAAAATCTTTATTTCATACAATTTTTTCAGAAGTTGCAATCGATAGAAGTATTATGATAAAGAAGAAATTTTCTGTATTTTGAATGAGCTTTTTTACGCTATTAGTATTTTTACATCCGTTAAATCTTTCCATAGCTCTAAAGTATAATGTATATATTAACTTTTGTGGAAATTTAATGCTTTTATCTTTGAAAATGGAGGAGGAGTAGTGGTTTGAAAACAGCATGTTTTATTGGGGTATTCGATATAAGTTGATTAACAAATCTAATTAATGTCATAATTGTAATGTAAAATACACATTAATATGCGGATTTTTTTATGGTACCCCTTTTTTTATCTAAAAAAGGAAACAGTGTAATAAAATATATTTTCAAATACGTTACGTTATTAGTATTATGAACTTTCAATCGCTAAGGCTTTTGGAAAATCGTTACATTTATAAAATTATTAGTTTTTTAATTAGGATACATTTGTAGAACAGTGCTATGGAGAGAAAATTTTAATTTCATACAATTTTTTCGGAAGTTGCAATAGATAGAAGTATTATGACAAAGAAGAAATTTTCTGTGCTTTGAATGAGCTTTTTTACGCTTTTGGTATTTTTACATCCATTAAATCTTTCCATAACTCTAATCCATATTACATATACTATCTTGTACGCTAATTTGGTGTTCATATCTTTGAAAATGGACGAGGAGTAGTGGTTTGAAAACAGCATGTTTTATTAGCGTTTTATTAGTATTATGAACTTTCAACTGCTAAGGCTTCTGGAAAATCGTTACATTTATAAAATTATTAGAGTTTTTAATCAGGATGCATTTGTAGAACAGTGTTATGGAGAGAGAATCTTTATTTCATACAATTTTTTTGGAAGTTGCAATAGATAGAAGTATTATGATAAAGAAGAAATTTTCTGTGTTTTGAATGAGCTTTTTTACGCCATTGGTATTTTTACATCCATTAAATCTTTTCATAGCTCTAATCTATATTACATATACTATCTTGCGCGCTAATTTGGTGTTCATATCTTTAAAAACAGAGGATGAGAAGTGGCTTGAAAACAGCATGTTTTATTAGCGTTTTATTAGTATTACGAACTTTCAATTGCTAAGGCTTCTGGAAAATTGTTACATTTATAAAATTATTAGAGGTTTTTAATTAGGTTACATTTTTAGAACAGTGCTATGGAGAGAGAATCTTTATTTCATACATTTTTTTCGAAAGTTGCAATAGGTAGAAGTATTACGATAAAGAAAGAAATTTTCTGTATTTCAAATGAGTTTTTTTATGCCACTGGTATTTTTAATCTATTAAATCTTTCCATGGCTCTAAAGTATAATGTATATACTACTTTTCATGGAAATTTAATGCATATATCTTTGAAAACGGAGGAGGAGTTGTGTTTTAAAACAATATGTTTAATATGTTCCTTATGTAAATTTCGGAAATCCTGTATGTGATAAAAAAAAATTACATATAACCAATCAATATATAACATTAATTAGTTTTGATTTTCTTAGAATGTCGCACACCCCAATTATTTATTACTATTATTATTAATGATTCCCATTTATGTTGACGGATGATGATTGTTACGCGACCAAAATATTCTAGTTGGTAGCATTATCTTATTGTATACAACCATCAAAAATAAATGATACTATATTATTTATTGTACGCAGCAACTACATCATAAATGACTAAAAAACTGAGAGTAGTTGTTAAAATAATTGTCACCATTTTATATTCAGCAATTGCATGCGGAATAGTGTTGGTCGTCAAAACTATTTTGAAGAGGCAAAAATCAAAACTAATGGCAAAACTTTTTGACTTTTGCACAAATTACGAAACTCTTTAGCTTTGGAAACCATTACTATTCATTGATGCTCCGTCTAATTTGGGAATCTCAACAACACGTTGCATAAGAAGCACTGTTAGACGGTCAAGTCGTTCTTCTGTTGTTAACGTTCTATTACTTTCACCAATTTCTAAAAATAAAGATGGAGGAATTAAGGCTTTCAGCTCATCATGTGTGTGTTTTTTAAAGAAGTGTTTCTGTATAACGCCCCATGGTTTGATTCGACCAACACCTGAAACAATAATAAAGATCATTGCAAATGTGAATAATATGTATTATGTATTATGCAATAATGATATATTGGTATCTAATTACCAAATAAAATGGCATAGAGTGTCAAAAATGTCCCCCATACAGCCAATACATTTGAAATGACAGACAGAAACTAATATAAAAATTAAAATAATTTATTAATAATAATGACAATGGCAATAATACTGTCATCATTGTTATTAATTAATAAATATACTTACGTTCTTACTTCTGTATTATGATAAAAAAACAGCCATTATCAGAAATTAATTATAATTATTTTCCAATTCATGTGCTGAAATTTTTTGTTGAAAATTTTGGAACATAAATATCTTTCCTTGGAAAAGATATTTACATTTCAACAAAAAATTTCAGCGCATGTAATTCAATCATCATTAATCTTATTTACTTGCCTTAGTTCTGTCTGCGTTTCAATCACAAAATTTTGAGGGTCAATCATAAATCCTGTCGCTCCTAGCGCAAAAAATGAAGAATTCCTTGACGTCGGGTCTAGACAATTTATTATTTATATTTATTGAATGATAATATATTTAAACAACAAAAAATTTATTTAACCCACAAATAATTGTTGTGATATAAGATTGTGTGTCGTGGTTTGGTTGAAACCCGAGGTTATCTTTGAATGAGGGTGTTATTCTATTGGTGACCTTCCTGGTCATCCGAACATAATAGATCTAAAAAATATATCATTCATTATAAACAAATTTATCATTACACCGCACCATTATTTATTATTATTTACATTTTCTCCTATAAAATATCTATTCGCTCGGAAAATCGACGTAATAAATGAATCTGATGACTCCTCGAAATAGGTATCCTTAACTGCCTCGGCATACATTGCATCCGCACTTGTTACATCACCTATTTAAAAAAAAGAATCAACCAATCAATCAATCCAATCAATCAACATTTAATATAATAAGTTATACCTGAGTCAAATATGTTAATTGTAAAAACAGGAAGGTTCCCATCTAAGGTGCCATCGCCATCAATCTCCAATCTAAAAAGAATTCGTTTTAACCGATTCGTCGGTTGGGTATTAGGAAAGGTTAGGTTGTTTGGTGAAAATTTACCAGTCCAAAATGTACCAATAAGTGTTGGTTGGGTGACATGTTCTGAACAAATAGAGTTGGTGTCTCCTAAAAATGAATAAACGAATGAATATATATGATTCAATATATATAATACAATACAACATACATAAATATGATTTTACCAAAAAAATCATAAAGTAAAAAACTGCACGTAATTGAAAAGTTTTTTCTATACTGAAAGGAAATTACTATACAATAATAATATTAGTTAAAAAAGAGTGTCAACGTTATTACTTATATATTCATTGGCTAATTAAATTAACCTGGCGAAGGAAATTCTACTATTGGAGAATGCTCTGTTGTATACAAATAAAAAGTTAAACTTGGCTTAGGTCAAACACGTAGTAAATATTTGCTAAATACACGATTCTAGTTAAATGAAGGCCGAATTTATTTTTTTACCAGTGGTAATAGTTGGTAAATCATTTAGTACTCCCGTTGTGAGTATAACAGAAAGAGCTATTAATAATACTGTAAATGCTCCAATGACAATCCATTTGCAACGATAAATCGTTAGTATTGGTTTTTTTTCCATTTTGTTTAATACGAATATTTTAATTGATGATTAATTTATATCAGAAAGAGAAATGAAATATGAAATTTTCTCTGAATTAAAGTTCAGTGCAACTAAAAATCTCAATAAAATAAGTCTATCCTAGTAATGTTTAGAAATTTATCGGCTTAGTTGGCTTAGATATCTTACATGGCTTAGCCGGCTAAAAAAAAAATTTCTTAATTTATCTTTACATCTGGAATTTTAGTGTAGAATAGTGTTGGTTTTCCAAAATTAGAGAATTTCGCAACCATGCGAAAGTCAAAAGGTTTCGCCATAAGTCGAAACTAGTTTGATTTTTGACTATTGACTTTTTGATTTACTTTTGACATATAACTTTTAATTTTAGTTTTGACTTTCGCCTCTTCAAAATAGTTTTGGAAACCAACACTGGTGCGGACATGGTTATCACAATCATTGTCAACAAAGGCGCCAATCTAAATCAAAAAAAAGTCAACGCAATAAAAGAAAGTATGACGAAAAGATTAAACGAAAATGAGTTTATCGAAAATAACGAAAATGCAGTTGATGATGCAACAACACAACAATGGAAATTTTATTAGAACATGCAAAAAAAAACCATTTTTTGAGTTTTAAGTTTGTTTTTAATAAATTTGTTTGATTTTTTCACACATCTTAAATTGGTTGTGTTTACAATCATTTCGTAGACATTCATTATATTAAGGTTATATTTTGATTATATCGAGAGATATGGTCAAGAGAAGAGAGTTATTCTTCAACCAAGTCAAAAACCAACCCTTTAAATACATTTTCGAGTAGTAATTTATTAGACTATTTCAAAGGTTTGTCGCATGGTTGCTTCCAACCTCTCAAATTCGAAACATTTGTTAACGAATTGTTGGTGAAGTGTTTGTTGACAAAATGAATCAAATTAACATTTATTTTTACGTTATCAAATTCGGTTTTGATTGGTCAATCAACAATTGCATGGGTTAAAATTCAGAACGGCATCTCCTGTTCTTATTCCTTCACTCAAACAAATAATTGTTCACAACACAACACTATTTGGGATGTAATTGCTTTTTATGCGTCAATACTTAACATTCTGGTCTTAGGGTAATTCTTGTTAACCTGCGGGAAATGTCATGCGATTAGTTAATTAATAATAATGTATTTTCCGTATTAGTGTTAGCCATTTTTATTTGCGAGTTTATCAGTTACTTAATAATGGCAAGAATTGCCCCAAGACCAGAACGTTTATTAAGAAATTGGTCCAACGTGGAATCATTACAAAATAAAAACAGTTATTTGTTTGATGAAGGAATAATTGATAAAATATTTATTAATAATAGATGAATAATTGATAAAATATTTATTAATAATAGATGAATAATTTATGTACTAGCAAATAATTTTTCTAAACTTGTTAGAAATATTTATAATTAAACTTCTAATTAGATTGCATATTAATATTTGTCAGATTTTTCCAGATGCTCAAAATTACGGATAACATTAACATTAATATTAAGATAATAATAACCCTGTAAAAAATTTATTCCGTGATTATTCTCAATGTTTTTCCGTTGTTAAACTCAATGATTTTCCATTTATATACATTGACATGTTTTTTCCATAATAATAAATGCATCATATTCACGGAATTTATAATTCCGTTTTTCATAATAATAAAAATGGAGGTTTCACTGATATGCATTTAATTAATAAAATGGATAAAGTTCGGACAAATAACTGAATAATTAATTAATAGAATGGATAAAGTTCGGATAAATTGTCGAAAAAATTTAATTAATAAAATTTCAAGTGGTCTACTAAAAATATGGCTCCTCAATTAGCGACTAGTTGCAACTAATTGCAGCATGTGTCGCAGCACATGAAAATTTAATTGTGGCTAATTGCGGTTACCATCTTTAAATGTTACTAATACTAATATGATAAAATGGGTAAATTTTTGTACATCACCATTGTGATTTGACAGATCTGTTTGAAATATTTTTGAACAGAATTTGTAATTAACTTGAAAACAATAAGACTAGACTATAATTTTTTTCAAAAATTGAAAGCATAAGTAAATAGAAATCTTACTGCATGCAAATGTATAGAAAAAATTAAATGAAAAGAATAGTCAATCACATATAATAATAATAACCAATAAAAGTAATTAATAATTAATAGCATAATCGTAGAATTTTGATATTCCTGTTTTCTAAAAATAAATAATTAGTAATAAATAAAGTATGGTCGCGTAACAATTCTTACTGATCGTACACCACCAGATCTAAAACAAGCGATTGATAATTAACAGACAGATAATTAATAATATAATTGTTATAGTGTAATTATTATTACAGAATGTATCATAATTAATAATAAATCAAATATAACAATTCTTTCTGATTTCGTTTAACCATTAACCTTTGAAAAAATTAATCATACAAATACCTACAAAAGTAAAAAACATATTACCATATACTTGGATTTATAAAACTGTTTTTGTGAATTTCTGACCAACACTAGATAGGATCTACAAAGCTCAGAAAGCAAGTTTTGTAAAATATACTTGATGGATGTTTTATCTAGTTGTATGATAGGCAGTTTTGATTATGGTGCTTAATTGAAAACGTTATACAAGTATTTAAATTCAAAATGCAATGGTTCTTTACCTATTAACATATATTTTTGTATCTCACCAAGTACTTGATCGAATTGAATGCTCTTAGATTCAAAAGACAAATTCTATTGCACATATATTTATAGTTAATATGTAGTAAAGTTATTTAATATTGAAGTTAAATCACAATTCGTTGATGCATATTAGTAATAATATTAAATATCTCTTTACATTTATCTTCTCCTTTTTTGACAATTTGTATATTATTGTTGCTTGCTCATATTATTTATATAGGAATAAAGTGCAAAAAAAAATTTTTAAACTGTATAAATATGATAAATATTCATAACAATATAATTATTTACATTTATTTCTACTTATACTTGCAATTGGACGCGTCAAAACAAAATTTTATTTTACAACATATGGGAAATGCCACGCGGCTAGTTGATTAATTATAATAACAATAATGTATTTTCTGTGTGTTTTCCATATTATTAATTTTAACCAAGTTATAGTTAACAAATAAAACGTTTTGTAAGAAAAAAAAATGCTTGTTTTTATTTTACGAATTTATCAGTTACTTAATAATATTCCAGAAATATAAAAATAATTTACAAATATCCTTGTATTAATATAAATGACATCATGGAAAATATCCGGATTGCTTACCCAACTGCTTGCTGCCTTTATGAAATAAATTGGACATTACGGAGTGATAAACATCATCACGGAGATATAATGGAAATATTTTGGGATGCCATTTTTTAAACACGTATACTGGAAATCAAAAACAAATCTCAAATTTGAAACAATTCAATTAATTAATATATTAATATATATTAATTATATTACATTATCTAAACGGAAAAACTTTTCTTAATATTAATATTAACGGTCCTAAAATTGTGAAACGTATCATTTAACATTTTTGCGAATTTTTAACCCAAAAATAATTTCTATATTAAATAGTATGTTAGCATTATATTCGTTCAGTTTATCCATAAGGTTTTTTATGTGTCTCGCGCATTCATTATGACAAGGTTTGACCTGTACCGCTAATGTTGTATTTTTCTTGTGATTACTATTAATTGTTTTAATTTATTATTTTAATGACTTTTTTTTGTTTATTTAAACAGTTAAATTCCGATGGAGGATTCATTTATCTGTAAAAAAAAAATCAAAAATTCATTCATAATAGTAACTGGATTATTATAAATTTTTATAAATACTACCCGCCTTCCTAATTCTTAATTCCATACAATTTGAAAAAGCAAAGAAAATTTCTCATAAGAAAAAAGTGAAAACTAAAAAGAATTAACTGAACAAGCAATCAAAATGAAATTCAATATTTCCCTTCTATTCTTGATTATCTTTGCTATTGTTGCCTTAGCAAGACCATTTGACCGTGGTTTGAAGAAACGTAAGTATTCCATTATGACGCGCCATAATGGACTTATTAACTGGATCCGTCCCCAAATTTATTTTGATAATACAAACAATATATATTTGGATATGAACCTAATTAAAATTGGACTTTTGTCCATTATAATTTCATTTATTACAAAAAATATTAATTGTTGATTTTCATTTTATTTTAAATAATAAACAGGAGAGTAAGTATTTTCATCACCATTATTACTACTACAGCCAATACAATTGTTATTATAGTCAATATCATTGTTCTTGAAAAATACTAACTGTTGATTTCATTTTATTTTAAATAATGAATAGCTGGTAAGTATTTTCATCATCATTATACTACAGTCAATATCATTATTGTTTTTGAAAAATATTAACTGTTGATTTTCATTTATATTAAATAATAAATATAGCGAGTAAGCATTTTATCACTATTATTACTAGTCAATATTGTTATTTTTGAAAAATATTAACTATTGATTTTCATTTTATTTTAAATAATAAATAGGAAGTAAGTATTTCATCACCATTATTATATCATTGTTTTTGAAAAATATTAACTGTTGA